ATTTCCATTCAATAAAAGCAAGGCAGAGAAGTTTATGTGCTAAAGAAGGAAAAAAAGAGAAGTTACAGCCTTTTAAAAGTCAAAAGTATTATTTGAATACATACTGACTATGAAAGTGGGAGGTCTGTAATTGTTGCTAAGTTCCAATAGGCTGCAGAAAAGACCCTGAAAGAAGAAGAGCTCTGGTTTTGGAGATATCAGTAGGGTAACATAAACAGTATGGGTAGCACAAACACTTCGATGGAACCAAGAACCATCAAAGGTGGGAAATGAGAACATCAAGAACATACATGTAGCATTTCCAGAAATTTCCTTTTGTTTTGGTTTAATTTTTACAATAGAGGCAGAGCGACTTCAGAAGTCCTGCATTCCCTCAGCTTCATTTAAGCATTTTAAGCATTCATTTAATGATGCTCAAACTCTCTGACATATCAATCTGGGCAGCAAAACCCAGACGAACTCTTGGATAGTTCTGAAATACAGACCTTAGTACTGCGAGTGGAACCACATTATAACCAGTAGAAGCTGGGAGCAGAAACAGGATCCACATTTCTTCCTCTTGCCTACATGATACTGGAATAAACAGGTGAAAATTGTAATCAGCCATTTGGAAAGATGAAGTGTGAATAAAGAATAAAAGGCATAATCCATTTTTAGCATATGTTTATGAAGGTGCCTTAGAGTTATATTATATATCCACATCTCCAATGTCCTCCTTCAATACACTTAAATCAGCTCAGCTCAGAGTGCCTTTGGGCATAAGAAAGAAGACAGTAGAGCTTGCAGGAAAGTGAAGCATTTCTGAAAGCAGATTTATTTTTCACAAGAGGGAATAAACCCAGCAACAGAAGGATATCATCTACCTCCCAAACAAAAACAACACTGGAGGGAGAAAAGAGCTGCAAATGCTGTAAAACCAAACTTGGAGCATTTCTGGTAAAATTGTTCTCATTGAGAAGGGAAAAACAATCATGAAGGAGATGATGGTAGTGTCTGAGGACATCCCCAGCTTGCATACCTGTGAAAAATGAGGTCCTCCCTCCCAAAGATACTTCCATACTGGCAGCAGATCACTCAGCCATGTTACCATCGGTCTACCTTACAACTTCTTCAAGAGGACGAGGTTGGATCCAACAGCAAAACCGTGTTTAAAGCAAGATACAGACTTGAAAGACTTGTAACATTTCAAGTCACAAGAAGGCACACGAACACTTCACAGATGCAAAATACCTTGTTGGAAACATGTCACATGTTTATCAGCTGTTCTCATTTCCTTACAGTCTGACTTGGTGGGCTCAGCAGCACACTGAACTTCCAAGAGCTTGCAGTTAGCTTGGAAAAATCACAGTGCTGAATTTCTGCTCTCTATAGATTATCTAAAGGCATTTGCTTGGCAGTATTTTCTTATGATAAAAGAGTATGGTAGTATTTAATCTCCAGAACCTCTTGTTAATGGAAGTCTCAGTTCTTTTCTACCTTCTATGTTTTGTACTGGTACTAATTTAAGGACAGTAAAAATTAAATTCAATACAAAGACTCTCATAAGTATCTGGAAATCTGCATTGTTTCATCTGGCTCCAAAAGGCCTCATTACAGCAGGGAAGGGAATTACCCCTGACTTTAGGAGTCATGAGGAAACTGAGAAAACCTTTGCACAGTGGTGAGAGGAATAGTTTGTGGGTTGGTTCGGTTTGTTTTTTCCAGAAGTGCCTATAAGAGGTAGCATAGGAGCCCAATAAAAACCATGGTTATTTGTATGCTTGAGCAGCTTGGTTGCTTGAAAATTCCCACCCCTTACAAACACACGAAGGGAGTGATTTTCAAAGGAGCTTGTGGATTTTACAGAGATGTATTCACTTACTGGTGCATTTAGTTTTCCCCCAAGTTGTTGAGCTCAATGTGATTACTCATAGGTATAAAAAGTAAGCAAGTACATAACATTTGTAGGCTCATGGCTGAAAACAGCCTAGAACTGGGAGGCAGGCAGAACACAAATATTTTCCAAGGTCACTTTTTCATGTTAGCTGCATACTCTTGGGGAGGCTACAGAACATGTGTTATTATCTCCAGTGGGGACTGGAAATAAATATAATGTTATTATTAGTTAGCCTTTTAATGCATCTTTTGAGCTCTGAAGGAGCAGCATTGTGCCAAGCTTTATAAACTTGTTTCTTCAGCCTCCCTGACTCCCAATATGTAACACTTTATTCATTATCCTAAGGTCTAATCTGGTTTCCAGATAACTCAGTGGTTCCAACAGACCATAAAGATGCAACCAAAGCCTCTGCTATGCATAGCTTTGAAAAAAATCACCAGCTAAAAAAGAATGCCTACTTGCAACAATACCATCTGAAAATGTCTGTTCTGCACGTGCCTCAGTAAGATCTGTCTCTTATTCTGTTTACTGAAACCTCAAAAAAAATCACATAACCTTGCATCTATAAGAATGGAAAAAAAAAAAAAAAAAAAAAAAAAGAATTGAATTTGACAGGCACTGCTAATAATGAAAATGTTTTTAAAAGTGAGCTCTAGCTGTGTACCAATCACTGCCTAATCAGGGTTATGGTTTTCAAATTATATTGTGTCTTCTTTCACCTCCTAACTATTATGTGAAATAAAAAGAGAAGTGCTTAGGCAAATCCTCGATCTGTTCACATATATTTTTAATATTAATATGTCAGAGCAGTGGCAATAATGATATTAGGCAAATGACGGAATTCTCCTCCCAGCTGGACATGTTAATTGAGAAGCCAAATTTTAGAGGCAAAGTTCATGTCTGTGCAGATGGCAGGACAATGCTGGATGGCAGGCCTAGGTCAGTGTCAATCCCAAACCGTACTTTAATGGCTCACTTCTCTGCTTTTTCAACGTCAGCTGGTCCCTGTGGGGTGTATAAGTTGAGGAAGTCTGTCTGTCTCTGTTTTTTTCCTGCCCTTGACTCTGGCTCACTAATTTCATGCAGAGAAGATGTCCCTGTGTGTGATAATAAAAAAAAAGAACTTGGAATCAGAAGATGAAATGAAAGAGAAGGTTTCAACGCTTCCTTAAGAGGTGGTGTAGCTGCTTAAAACCAATACCATCCTCTTCCTCTCGGAGGACTGCATCCAAACTTGCTCACATCAAGGGGAACACATTCCCTATTAAAACCAGTCACCCGACATTTCCTTGATGCATTTTAAAATAATAACAATAATTATTTCTTTATAATTTTTTGCAGGGAGGGTTTCCTACAGTCTTTAATTGCATCTATAGCGAGATCACTTCATGTTTCGGCCTGGCTGGTCAGAGTTTAAGATGCTTTATTGTGCTGCAAGTACATAAAGGTATTTTACCCTTTGTTAAAAAGCCCTGAATATTGCTCATATTTATATAGCTATTATATTATCTACTTTAATATGATGTGTGAATCAAAAGCTGAATGTATAGACCTATATATTTAGAGAGATTTATAGCTATACAGCATCACAAAAAGACTTTAATAGCTTCAGTTTCCTAAGTGATATAATTATTTATTATCTCTAATTAAAATGCAGAGCTTGGCTTTCTGCGTGAGACTAGATGAAAAGCCTTTTTAATGAAAAGAGCAACTATGAGCTCTAAATTTCTTTATGGAAGAGATAACTTATGTAATCACTGGTAACCTTTTTCAAGAATATTATCTCACTATTTATAAAACAATACCTTCTTTACTTTATAAATTCCCATTTACATATGAAAAAGAGCTTTATTTATTGATGCCTTTGACTGATGTGCATTCTTCTTTCAGGAATACCCTCTTTTTCTTTTTTTCCATCTTACATATGCCAGAGCACCTTCTTTGCCTTTGACGTTACCTGAAATGATATTTTAAAATAATTCTCTCCTTGAATAATCAATAAACACAACTTAGTTCATTCATCAAATAAAATCACATCATATTTCCTTGCTCTATAACAATACATTTAAAATGTTTTCTAATCTTACAGTTTGACACAGAATTTATTACACAGAATGCAAATTTTAACCACTAGGAGCAGCTATAAACAAAGGGAAAACCAAATTTGTTTTCTTTTGTTATTGTAAAAAAACCTTTCTTTAACACCACCCCAACATACATACACACACCAAAAGGCATTATTATTTAACTGCTCGGTGAATCAGTAGGATATAAGCAGCCAGGAATTGGAACTGCATGGCAGTAAACTTTGTCCACATCTATATTAAAAATGAGTCATGATCTCATATATTGTCATGACTTAATTGATATTTATAGTGTTAAATTACCCCTTATTTCTAAACAAGGAGAGGTTGCCACCAATTATGGAAAAAATGCTATAATAGGATAAAGCTTTATATAATTACATTTCCTTCATATTTGTATGACTTCCAACACAACTGTGACCCAAACTTGATCCATCTGTAGCACTTTGAACATCATTTTCTGCTAAACATACAACAAAAAATGTGAACTTGTATTATATTAATAAAATGTTAATATATCACAGTATGGATTGATGTGATCCATACCTTATGGATATTTCACAACTACACAAGCTTTGATTAAGAGCTCACTGTAGTCAAAGGTAAGACTTTCACTGCTTCTAATGGGCTTTCAATCAAGGTCTCGGCTATCTGTATTTTTTCATAAAACAGAAAAATTCATTATCTTTGGAATTGCCTGATATGAGTCAGGGCAGCAAATGAGTTCAGTGATGATGCATTTGTGTAAATCTGGGCAAAAATTGACCTTGTATACTGACAGATAGGAAAAGAGGTAGGAAATGCATTTAACTGAACATCTCTGTTGCGTTGTAATCATCTAGACTTGAGTTTCACTAATTAATGGCTGTGTAAAGCGAGAGCATTCAAATGGACATCATTTTAAAATCCATTTACTGTTTACAGTCTTTGCTTTGTAACTTTTATTGTTATTGATTATCTTTTAACTTACCTCCTCTCTCAAATTCCTCACCACGTCATTCCGTCTCTTAATTCAGAAAAGAAGCCACCAATTTGGCATAAGGACGCAGTGCACCGGCCAGTGCAGATTTCATGCAATAGTCTCCCAGTTGTCCAACAAACGGTTTTTAGACTCCCTGTAAAGATTTTGGAAGCTTTTTCTGAGTGCAAAAACCCACATACAGGGCAAGGCACGTATGTTTTGAAGTATATAAGCACATAGTTGATGACATTATCTAGCTAGCTGAACCAGGTTTAAGTTTACAACTAATCAAGTCAGGGAATGGAAAATAATAATCTATGTAAATCAGTTTAAACTTGGAAATTCCATCTGAACAATATTATACATAGGAAACAGTGTGTATTGATCAAATAAACATTTAATACTGTTTTACAGCCATCAGATGGGAACACAGTTTATATTAAGTTGCCCTTAATTTCATTCAGAACATTGTTAGCTAGACTTTATTCTGCTAATGAAAATATAACTATATCTTCAGGAAGGACAGCCAATATCCTGGAAAAGAGATCAAAAGAGCACAGAGCAATGCTGAAAGAACCATTCAAGTGAACAGAAAATAAATAGCACTTAATTTATATTGTTACAATATTGTTACCATTTAATTTTGAAAGCATTATTTGTATCAGTAATATTTTCATCTTCATATTGTAAAAACCGTGTATGTGCATATTCAGAATTAATAGAGTGGAATTTTTCTGTATTCATTTTATATACATGAGAAAATATAGACCTGATACAGCTCCACATAAGTCAGTAAAATAAGATAAACTCCAGTGGACTGCAGATTGCTACTAACACTGGCTTTTAAAGTTGGGAACACACAATTGATTTGTGTACTTGGAAATGTACGTATTCAGTGCTTTTTTATCACATGGCATAAACTAAATACAAGCAGTGGCACTTCAGCAGTTCTTAATATTATAGCCAAACCTCATCCAATTTATCTAATTACCCTCTCTTATTAGCAGCAGTGAGGTTGAAAGCTATTCCTTATAACAATAAACTATCTTCGTAACTCTTTTCAGAGGCTACATTTAACAGGAGGATTTTGCATAGCACCATAATACTTAGACTTGCCAGTGCTGCTCTTGCCAGTGTAGATTGCCTCCACAGACATACACAGAAAGCTACTGCATGCACACATTGCTAGCTATCATAGAAAATCAGCTGTGAGAAAGCAAGCGTTCATAACTTTGTTCAAATAAATAAAAAAATATCTACTTAGTAAACTGTACTGATGTAGTCTGATATTGTATATTATACAACTCAGATTCTAGTTTCTTGTGATTAAAGACTAAAAAAATCACAGAATCATATGCTAGAGCAACTCAAGTTTGAGTAGCAGATGATGCAGATTTATAAAATCATACAGCATGGACTGAAAAAAGACCAAGCAATGCACGAAATCTGGGGAAAATCAAACCACTTATTCCACATGTAATTCAGATAAAATTACACAGGCTTAATATTTGAAATCATTTCTGTTACAGTTCCTCTTAGCCACTGTGATGAACACTAATGCAGTATGTGCATTATTATAAGCGGGAAATCCCTGGTATCAAAGGATTAATTTTAATCTTTGTCTTGCTTTAGTAATAGGAAATAAATTTTACCTAGTCATTGTCCTAGTCAAGTCATATAAAGAAACCATATATGCTGACGAGCCTTTATTATCTCAGTCAAATAGATTAGCATTGATTTACTGTAGGTAAGAGCTGCTGAAGGGTCTGTTCTGTGTGTGCTCTTCAGCAGCATGATTATTTACTGTAAACCTACCCTCTGATTTTCTCCTTAGGCTGGTATTGCTATTATTAAAGCTAATTCACATGAAATTATGGTAGCTCTTCTGGTCTACAGTCCTTGGTCAGAGACCTAAGCAGGTGTTTGCTTAATAATTTGGTCAAAGATCAGTGAGTTAAAGGTTAGGCCATAAAGGGGAAGAATGGAGAGGTCAGAGCACTTGCAGGAGGGGTCTGAGACTTGATCTTCCAGAGTCTGGAATGGTCGAGCCTCAAGGTCAGCCATTAGTGATCTTGCTTTAACGGACTGTGAGATGTCAACCATAAATTCACCATGCCAGCACCTTTAACCCTATTAATACTTTGACTACTGGAAATAAAAGCAAGAATCCAGAAGGAACTAGTCCATGGAGAATTATTCACAAAGTGTCCACGAGATTAAGTTTATGTAGTAAAGCTTATAACTCTTAATAGAGCTTTCCAAAGAAAAATAACACACATTCTTCATTACTCCCTTTTACAGAAAATCATTGCATTCTATATCAAGATGGTAGATGAAGACATTTCACACGTGATGTCTAAATATATATATATTCATAGAACATGAGATTTTTCTCAGATAATATAAGTAGAAATTAATGAAAATAGAAACAAAACTGAAAAATCACCTGTTCTCCAAAACTGTACTAGGTCAGGTACACACAAAGCTGTATAATTGCCACCCATAATTAGACAGCACATACTGAGCAAGCATCTTCTTATCAGAAGCAAATGGTGTAGTGGCCATTTTCTTGTTCAAGACAATAACTATGTTCTGATGATTAGCTATTTTAGCAAGCAGAAGCATGTGACCACCAAATGCCAACTTGGAATAAATGACGTTTAGGAATTTCATCCTGGAAGGTGCATCTCGCCTTCTGCTCTCCAGCGGCACTTCAACATTCAGTGTTGGCATTTCCTGAAATAGTGCTGAGTTGTAGAGATTCAAATAATCTTAAGATCTAAGAACTCTTGCTTTTAGTTTCACATCAAAGATACATGAAACAGCTTAGTATTACCAAACACCACATCCTGCATCTCCAGAGCCTGGGAAACTCATCTTTTGCTGTGTGCACAATCTTCTGTGGAGGGACTGCTCAGCCATTTGAGAAAGCAAGGTATATGGCCAATAAAAGAAGTAACATCACAGACTAAGTTAGGAAAATATTTCCGGCTGTTATAGCTAGGATGTCCATGGGACAACAAGACAGACAGTGAACTCCTTCCCCAGGGTTTCCAGAGACACCTGACAAGGCACTCTTTCCACTGCAGGATGAGTAGGACATGAAGCTTACAGGGATCAAAGTATCATGAAACAAAGCAAAAGGGTAGGAAGGGTGAGACTTAAAGGAATCATCCGTTGAGGTAAATGAAGACATCACAGCAGAATAAAAAGAGATAACAACAGACAGTTGGGTGCAGAGTGCTAATTGGGAGTCTGAACTGAACCAGTGGCCCCAGCCCAGCATTAATGAAATATTCATAGACAGGCACACAGCACACTGTCAGGAAAGGACAGGTTGGTTTGCCTTTTAGGAAGGAGAATTTTTCTATATCGTTGTTTTGTTCCTTTGATTTCCCTACACTTACAACTCCGAATCTGTGGTAAGGAAAGGTATGCAATTGCTACAAAGTGTGTTTTGTCAATGAAAATTCCAAACTGAGTAACTTGGCTTTAAAAATTAATTACTTCATCCTTAAAGGCCAACTACACAGGAACTTGAGACGTCTGGAAACTTCACACAGACCTTTCTTTAACTTCTAGTCATGCTTTACTTGACTTCTAGCATACTTAGTTTCCTATCTTATGAAACCTGCACAAAGATCTGAACAGAAAGAGATTTTCGTGCGTGGGCAGGAGGGAGCATGGTGTTTCAAGAGAAAACTAGCTCTCCTATTGATAAAAATTCACAGATATATCAAACTGAGAAACTAATCCTGTCAAATCTTATAAGGTATAAAGTACCCACAATTCCCACAAAGATCAGCAGGTTCTGGGTTCCCTCCAGAGCCCCTCAGAACTGAGCCCTTCATCCAGAATACTTGGCTTCAGTTCATATCACTTGAACTCACATTGTTCAGTTGGGCTTAAATCTTCACATTAACTGGTTGCTCAATTGCACTGCATACCGTGCGTGCTGCTGTGTGCACCTGTTTGTTTTGATAGCAAGCACAATAGGATATTTTGCGGGTTGAAATCATCCACTGTAACAAAACAGTCTTTTTTTAATTAAAAACAATTCTGGAAATGAAAACACAATAAGAATATGTACAAAAAAAAATCCGTTTATAAAGATTGAAACATAAAATGTGTCAAAATATTTTTGGAACCTCGCAAGTATTTGGTGACACAAAGTCAGTTTTCAGAAAGAAGTTCTGTTTTTAATGGGCATAAGCTTCTGTCTTTTAAATACTCTCTAAAGGATATTCTAAGTAAATCTGTAAAGAATTCCATTTAAAAAATGAAGAGCAAGTATTTATTAAAGAGTTCTGTATACTTATTTTGCTTTATGTTCTGCTTGTTAATTAGAAAGAAAAAGCACAGTTAAAAAAGCTGATATCAGATTTCCAGTCTACTTAATCAGTACAGGTAGATATCCATTCACAGAGAGCCATGCCCCATAATGCTTTTGCATGTTTAACTTTCATTAATTCAATACAATTAATTTCATCAATTGTAAGAGGAACATCAAAAAAGCTTGTGTTTTAAGACAAGGACTGACCACGTTCATCTTTAAGATTATGTCTTGTACTTCAGGGACTCCTCCCATACCACCTGTGAGTAAACAGTACCATGAGCCCCTAGTCTTGGAGAGAACTCTACAGTATACGAGGTGAAAATACAAAGTACTGTGAGCTAATGATAATCAGAAATACTTTCTTGATATTGTTGCATATAGAGAGCTCTTGAAATGGAAAACACCTTTACAGCGTTATCTTTTCCCCTCTAGATTACAGGACAGACAAGCACAGTGATCTCAGAAATCTTTAAAACAACAGAGAGAAAATTTTCTAATTCTCTTAATGGTCACCACTGAGGCAAAATTAATCCAAGCTTGGAAAAGGACAGCAGAAGATCTTTAACAATGCAGTACAGCCACAGAGAGATATCAATAGCAGCTGTGTATCAATAGTTAGGTAAATTCCAGCTTTGCAGGGCAGAACTGTTGGTACAAAGGGAAGGTAGATTAGCCTTAAACCAGGAGAGATGTTGTTCCATAGATTTGTTGCTTTCCTTTGAATAAAGAATACTGATATTGTCTTCCAGAAGTCAGTTCACTGCCCAGCACAAAAACTTTGACCTTTCGCCTCCTGTGCATGCAGAGAGAGGAGATGC